GTTTTCCCAGAGGATGAATTTTCCAAGGCGTTAAGCTGAAATTAATGGAGGAGGATGGAGATAAAAACAGAAGCAAGAATGTGCCTACAGTACACATAGCAGCCTACTCACCTACTGTTGACAGCCAACATAAAAAAGAAATACATGGCAAGGACCCAAACTTCCGGGTCGCTATCACCAGAGCTGACTGGTGTCAACACACCGCCTGGTCCAGTGCCCTTCAGATAAAAACTAAGCAGAAATAACGCAATATCATTTTAAGCAAAATAATGTTCCAAGGCAGTATCCCAAAACCATCTGCCACTGAGTTAGCTGAACCTAGGAGCCTTACGGCCAGTGTAAGGACAGACCATCTAAGAATGTCTGGAGAAGCAGTTTACAGACTCACTTATCTTCTAAAGTTCAGCAGCTTAAGAACTTGAGAACTACAAATAAATTCAGCAACCTAAGAACTATATATAAATATATATGAATGACAAACCAATTACTCTAATTAGAAGTCAAGGTTTAACAGAAGTATTAATTTAATGATGTTTGAAGTTGTCTTTAAAATATAAAATAGTACCTACGTTTTTGTGTTGGAGATTTTTAAAATATTTCCAGTATAATTTCTTTCCAAATAATAGATATTTTTGTATCTTTTATTAGCTATCATTTTGGGTTATAATTCTCACTATAAAGAGACATAGCTTTCTACATTCTAGTGACAAACACTCCACTGAAGTAATTTAATTCTGATGCAAGAATGCAGCAGCTTGCAGCCTTGGCACAGCGTTGGGGGTCTGAGTTTTGTTTGCTTCTGTAATCCTGGACAAGGGACCCCACTCTCCTCTCTTACATCAGCACAACATGAAAAAACATCATGCCTTCTTCACAGGATTAATAATGAAATGAAGGGAATTCCTTGGCAGTTGAGCAATTCAGACTCAGTGCTTCCACTTCAGGGGGCATAGGTTCAATCTCTAGCTGGGGAACTAAGATCCCACATGCTGTGTGGCATGGCAAAAAAAAAAAAAAACACCACCACACACACACAAAAGCCAACAGCAAAACAAAATACACAACCAAAACAGAAAGAATTAAATGAAATGGGTGGGAAGCGCTTGGTAAGGTACTTATTAAGCACTTTTGCTAGTGCTTTATTAGTGTCAAACGCTTTTATTATCACAGAGCTGACAGTACCAAATGAAGAAACAATGGAAAAGTAAGCCCACCCCTGCAATTCTCCTACAGTGCTGACTGCTTTAGACTCAGTTCTTCAGTTTACAAGCAGCAGTCAGCAAGCGCCCACCTTTAGACTAAGCCTGCCTTGTTATTTTGGGGAAAAAATATTTCCGGAGGTGTACCTTCAGTTATTGCAGTGAGTGGTTTACCTTCAGGAAGACAACTGTAAGCTCTCACTCAGGGTGAAAACCCGTGCTTCCAGGTCCCTCTCCTCCCTCTATCTATCTGTGGCTCCTCCCACCAGAGCCTGAGAGGTGATCCTGGCTCCCCCTGGCACGGCCTTGGCAGCGGCCACTGTGGCTGCCATGCCAAGCCTCCCCAGCCACTCTGCCAGCAGGAACGGTGACCTGTCCCGTCCCAGCTTTAACCACAGATCCTTGGGCCAAATGGGTAACATCACAGTCTGCTCATAAGCACAAAATTTACAGTCAAAAGTTGCACATAAAGGGTTTATTTTAAATGTTTTAAGGATAGGATAGAGTTACATCATAATTATAAAAATTACTTACAGAATTAACAGCTTTATATTGTTTATACTTCTAAATGCAGAGAACAGGGAACTGTCTACACATTGTATAAAATAAAATTAAAATTAAAAATGAATTCAAGCTTGAAAGATGAGGTCATTTACCTAATTTTAAAATGCGAACACGAAGACCTCTGAACTATACACATTCGTTCAACTGCACTAATGATGGAAAATACAAAAAGCGCAGCATTTCCAAGGAACCACAGACATTTCAACCATAATTGTTTTCTGTTATAATAATTATTCCTGTTTTGTCTTTGGAGAACTTTCTTTTTTTTTTAAGACAATCAGCTTAATAATGTTTTCAGGCACTACAATTTGTGACAATCAAAACAGTCTTCTAATGGGTCCACGGCGTTCAGAGATTCAAGCCCAATGCACTTCGGGGTTTGGCACGTAAAACAATAATAGAAATGAAATCTGGTTTAGAAGCAACTGTGATTGTTTTAAGAATGCACAGTCCCTTCAAATGCTGCAAGACATACACAACAGGAAAATCACCTTCTGTTGGCACTACATTTGCTTCACCAGTGCATTTATATCCTACAACCACTAAAACAGCACAGTTAAGCAAATATACAGAAACTGAAAACAAATAAAAACAAAGATAGAAAACAAAAAACCTAAATATATTTAACATGCAATTTTAGTTAGTTACATTGAACATTCTACTTAGAATAGAGCATGCAAAAAAGGATGGTCTGCTTTTAAGGTCTTCCTTTGAAGCTTTACATGGCAGCCAGACATCACACACGCACACACACGACACAATAATACTATAGCAGGTCAATGAGAAAGGCCAATACATTTTATACAGAGATTCATGTCTTGTGTTGTCACAAGTCCCATGATAATTTTGGAAATTAATGTTGTATTCCTAGAACAAGGAACCAACATTCCGATACCAGGAAAATGCAAGCAATGCATGCAGATCTGAAACATGAGCCTAAATGAAGCCTGAAATACTCAGCTGGGAAGCAGAGTTAGTCATGGCATCAGGAAGTGTGGTTTAAGCCACCAAAAGAAAAAGAATGGAAAAAAAAAAAGGGAAAACATCAACATAAAACCCCTTCCCCTTCCTTCAACCCTAAAGGCAATAAATGGAGCAATGATTAAAATAATAATGATAACAAATCACATGTCACATTTATCTAGAGAGTGGCAGATCATGTGGTATATTAAAAGTTGCTAAAGGTACTTGCAGAAAAACCACAATGCAAGTCATTAAGTAATGCAAAAAATGTTTCAACTGACCCAACCCTCAGGATCCCACCAAAGGACTTCATTTTTCAGCCTATAGTCACTGTGTCCTGTTTCTGCAGCTCACACTGGACAACTCACTCTCTGGGCCACTCGTGTCAACCTGGACTCGGGGAGCTGCGCTCAGCCTTGAGATTCACATGCAGGAACTCTTACAAGAGCCACCAGCAGAACAGACAACAGATCTGTAGCACGACACTTGTTTGAACCACAGAAGGGACACCTAAGACCTAGGTACTCACTGCATGGAGCAGCTCACCCCGACCACCCAGGGTGAGGGCACACTGCAGAGAAGCAGGCTGCTGGGTGTACATGGCGCACAAGGTCACCGTACACCCGCACAAGGCAGGCCTTCCGGAAGCGAAAACGGGTGTCACACAAACCACGCACAGCGGGGCCTTGAAACTAAATAACCGCTTTTTCATCAAGAGCAGCTATGAGAGGGGTCACACACACCTGGTGTCTGATTGCCAGTCTATGTATTTAAGCTTTCTGCCCAAATCTTGGGTAAAACTTTCAACCTCTACAAGACTGGTTTCACAAACCATCTTTCTCCCAGCCAGCTTTCAAACTGCCAGGGATCATCCAAAACAAAGTGAGAGGCTGACGTTTTGCTGCTAAATGAACCACTTTTGTGGTTCTATTTTAGTTCAAACAGCTTTGCAGGGAAGGTTTCAACGGCTAAGGGCTGCGATCAGTCACTCCCACAAGCCAGTGCAGGCGACCGACCCTGATGCGGCAGGACCCACCAAATGGAATGAATCCACAGTATCAGCACACCATGAGCAAGAATATACAGCACCAAAAAAGGTGTCAGGAATTTAAGCTGTTAATTGTCTAGACATTCTTTGAGAGGGAAAGTCGAGGGGGAGAAGCCTTCTGACCATAATCATACACCAGTAATAACAGTAATAATAACAAAGGGATTCGAGAGAACTTGGTAAAAGACAATAATGCCATTCTTACATTTCTAATATAAAAGTACTATGTTCTTCCAGGAACTTACCAAATACACATAAACCACTGATATACTGTTGCCTTTTAAATCCATGTACTAAAACCCAGACTACTAATTTGTACAAATAGTGGACCAAATGCATCATCCAAAATACACCTGTATTACACAATGTGGACCAAGTACCTGGACTTTGCTTTAAAAAGGTATTTAAGATTAAAAAAAATATGTAAACAAAAAATGTACAAAGCTTAGAATTAAAGGCAGCCTTTACCTAGATTTCTAATTGTTTTGTAAATTCTAATGTGGGTCATTAAACATCCACAAGTGATTCATGTTTGAATTTACAGTTTAAAGCCTCTGGATTGAAATGGTGCTCTGAACTTCTGACTTTCAACACAAGCTGAATGTCCCCATGTTCTTCCTGTGCCCAGTTTTAATTTTTAAATAAACAGCAGTGATATAAAGTCAAGCACTCCTGTTAAACTGGAGAAAATTATTTAACTCCTACCTCAATCCACAAAGAAAGAACTGCCAATGAAGTGTGTGTGTGTGTGTGTGTGTGTACACAGATCTGTGTGTGTGTATATATATATTATATATGTATACACACAGATATAGATAGGTAGATAGATATGCATACATATATATCTTTTAAAAAAAAAAGGCAGTAACAAAAATGCAACCAAACTATGCTTGCATTGTGGCAGCAGAGTGTGTGAAGAGTGAAGGGGAAAGTGGATAAGATCTATTACAGTTTTAAATGACTATGATACTAGCTTAACTTTTACCAGACTTGCCTGTAACTCCCTTCCAAACAGACAGACTTCTTTTAAGAGGAAGGAGTTCCTTACACAAAATGCTTTGTGTTCACATAAATCTGTACGATTCAGAACAAAACCAGTTCTGCTGGCAGAGATTGTGGGTTCGCAGGGACATTTAAGCTTTCATTAAACTGGAAAGCAATCAAGTCTTTATGTCTACAAATTATACATTTAATAGTTCCACAATTGGTAAAGTTCGTGATGACATCTAGGATGTTTTCACCAAATCGTAGACATAAATATGGAAATCATCATCAAACTTGATGAAATAGACAGACGGTTTGGCTTCTACTTGATGAATGACCATGCCAGTCCTTTTAGAGCCATCTTCTTTGGCATATTCCACTTGTTTGCCCACCAGGCTGTCCACAACTTCTCCCGGTTCCCTTTCTGCTGGAGGTGAATCATCTGTATTTAAAGGAGGGAGAAAAAAAGAGAATTTAAAGTTAGTTTTTAGATACACACCAACTCACATATTTTGATAATTTTTAAAAATGTTTTTAATATCCTGCATTCATCTTGATTTTCTAGACCAAGAGTCAGCAAACTTTTTCTTCAATGGCCAAACAATAGATATTTCAGGCTTGAAGCCATATGGTCTCTGCACCAACTACTCGGCTGTATCTCTGTGTGTGAAAACGGCCACAGATGACACACAAATGAATGGTGTGACTGTATGCCAATAAAACTTTATTTACAAAAGTCTAAATATGTAAACAATTCCAAGAATCATAAACAGAAATTCTTCTGGCTCATATTTAATTATAGCTATAATTACCTAATGAAGTAATAAGGACTAAAAGAAGGAAAAGTCAAGAAAAAACTAAATACAGTTCACCTTTAAACAACAGGAGTTTGAACTGTATGGGTCTACTTATACCGGGATTTTTTCCAACAGTAAACAGATCTGCAGTTGGTTCAATCCATGGATACAGAGGAACCACAGAAATGGAAGGGCTGCCCATAAGTTATATGCAAATTTTCAACTGCTCAGAGGGATCAGTTCCCCTACCTCAACTCCCAAGTTGTTTAGTTGTCAACTATAATAATATAACATCTTTCTTTAAAAAAAAAATTTATTGACATATAGTTGATTTATAATGTTGTATTTTATAACTTCTTAAAATTAAGTCTGCATTGGTGATTTCCGTCGTGGTCCAGTGGTTGAGAATCCATCTTCCAATGCAGGGGATGTGGGTTTGATCTCTGGTCAGGCAACAAAGATCCCACAAGTCAGAAGACAACTAAAGTCCATGGGTGCTGCAACTAGAGACATGGGCTCTGAAGCTTGCACACCACAACCAGAGAGAGGCCTGCACATTTCACAAGGACTCGCATGTCACAACTAAGGTCTGATGCAGCCAAAAATAAATAATAAATCTAATTCCTTTCAGTAAAAGAAAGTCTTGCTTTACTTTGAAATGATTTTAAAGGAGACAATGCCTATTGGGATTACTGAGAATGTACTACACACTTAAAATGCCTAAGAATCCCTTCCTTATCTTGGGAATCCTTAACGATTTTTTCCCTCAACTTCGTTTCATTACACACGGTCCTCCTAACCCAGTTTCAAAATAAGAGATTTCTCATGCTATAAAAATAGGTGCTAGATGAACTCAACTGAATCTCGGAGGATGGATGAGGCACCTGAACTTTTTTTAAAAGTCCCTAAGAAAATGTGAGTGTTGGAAAACATTGCTCACCCTATGACCTAACAAAACTCTGTAAATTCTAGGAAAACATGTAAAAATCAGAGCAAATTATCACTGTCAACAACAAAGAAACAATGTACAAAGGGAAGAAGGGGTTGGCAAGAGGATGGTGCTAGGCAGTTACATATCTTTTTTTTTAAATTTATTTATTTATTTTACTTTACAGTATTTCATTGGCTTTGCCATACACTGACATGAATCCGCCATAGGTGTACATGTGTTCCCCATCCTGAACCCCCCTCCCACCTTCCTCCCCATCCCATCCCTCTGGGTCATCCCAGTGCACCAGCCCCAAGCACCCTGTCTCATGCATCAAACCTGGACTGGCAATTAATTTCACATATAATATACAAGTTTCAATGCCATTCTCCCATATTATCCTGCCCTCGCCCTCTCCCAGAGTCCAAAAGATTGTTCAACACATCTGTGTCTCTTTTTCTGTCTTGCATATAGGGTTATTGTTACCATCTTTCTAAATTCCATATATATGCGTTAGTATACTGTATTGGCATTTTTCTTTCTAGCTTACTTCACTCCGTATGATAGGCTCTAGTTTCATCCACCTCATTAGAACTGATTCAAATGTATTCTTTTTAATGGCTGAGTAATATTCCATTGTATATATGTACCATAGCTTCCTTATCCATTCATCTGCTGATGGACACCTAGGTTGCTTCCATGTCCTGGCTATTATGAACAGTGCTGCAATGAACATTGGGATACACGTGTCTCTTTCAGATCTGGTTTCCTTGGTGTGTATGCCCAGGAGTGGGATTGCTGGGTCATACAGCAGTTCTATTTCCAGTTTTTTAAGGAATCTCCACACTGTTCTCCATAGTGGCTGTACTAGTTTGCATTCCCACCAACAGTGTAAGAAGGTTCCCTTTTCTCCACACCCTCTCCAGCATTTATTGCTTGGAGACTTTTGGATAGCAGCCATTCTGACTGGCGTGAAATGGTACCTCACTGTGGTTTTGATTTGCACTCTGATAATGAGTGATGTTGAGCATCTTTTCATGTGTCTGTTAGTCATCTGTATGTCTTCTTTGAAGACATGTCTGTTTAGTTCTTTGGCCTACTCTTTGATTGGGTCTTTTATTTTTCTGGAATTGAGCTGCAGGAGTTGCTTGTATATTTCTGAAATTAATTCTTTGTTGCTTCATTTGCTATTATTTTCTCCCATTCTGAAGGCCATCTTTTCAACTTGCTTATAACTTCCTTTGTTGTGCAGAAGCTTTTAATTTTAATTAGGTCCCATTTATTTTTGCTTTTATTTCCAATATTCTGGGAGGTGGGTCATAAAGGATCCTGCTGTGGTTTATGTCAGAGAGGGTTTTGCCTATGTTCTCCTCTAGGAATTTAAGAGTTTCTGGTCTTACATTTAGATCTTTAATCCATCTTGAGTTTATTTTTGTGTATGGTGTTAGAAAGTGTTCTAGTTTCACTCTTTTACAGGTGGTTGACCAGTTTTCCCAGCACCACTTGTTAAAGAGGTTGTCTTTCTCCATTGTATATTCTTGCCTCCTTTGTCAAAGATAAGGTGTCCACAGGTGCGTGGATTTATCTCTGGGCTTTCTATTTTGTTCCACTGATCTATATTTCTGTCTTTGCACCAGTACCATACTGTCTTGATGACTGTGGCTTTGTAGTAGAGCCTGAAGTCAGGTTGATACAAATTGTGAAATTATTTGTTCTAGTTCTCTGAAAAATACCGTTGGTAGCCTGATAGGGATTGCATTGAATCTATATATTGCTTTGGGTAGTATACTCATTTTCACTATATTGATTCTTCCAATCCATGAACATGGTATATTTCTCCATCTATTTGTGTCCTCTTTGATTTCTTTCACCAGTGTTTTACAGTTTTCTATATATAGGTCTTTTGTTTCTTTAGGTAGATATATTTTTCTATTTTAAGAAACCCCTTACAGGTCCCGAGTAACTTAAACTCTTTCCTCTGGAGCAACAGAGAGCCTTCAAGTAGTACGACCAGGTATCCTGGCTGTCCACACTTATGCCAGTCATCTTGACACACTAGTTAGCAGTGCGCCTGTTAATTTCCACATGTATCTTGGTCTGGACCATATCTTGTATTTACATTAACAGCAGTTTGCTCTTTGATTATAATAAATTCTCTCACTGAATGATATAATCCGAAACCTGCAATTCTGATCTGATATAATACAAATAATCCACATGACCATGTTATCAGTTCTGGAGGAATAAAGAGGAAATCTAAGCTGAATTCTTCTTCAATAGCACTCTTCCATCAAGTAGCAGCATCATACCACACCACACTTTCATGGCACCTCATGTGGATGAAGAAATCCCATATACATACGTTTTATAGTAACCATGATGAAGAAGCAAGAGACTAAAACAAAGGCCACCATAGAGCTCTTTGCATGAGAACATCATCACGGATTCTAACAGCAAATAAACTTGCATACCACTCAAAAGAAAGGAGTGAGAGGATAAAGACATGGTCAGTACAGGCAATGGGTAAAGTGCAAATGATACCCATACTTTCTATTATCAAGTCAACAGTACCTGCTTTAGACATTTCTCTACAAAAACGTTAAAAATTTCAAATAGGTTGGAGAAAAGCTTTTAAGGAATGCCCTCATCAGTAAATTTTTGCCTATATAAACACTTTCCATTATACATTTATAACAAATACACACAAACTAAAAAGAAAAACTCTAAGAAGGCTGAAGTCAGGGCCAGATGACCATGAGTGGGTTCACTGAGCAGCATGTTCACAGGGAGAGCTTAAAAAAAAAAAAAGACACAAAAATGAAGAAGAGGATATCACACTGCTAATACATCCACTGTCTATCAGCCACATATTTCTAAGGCCAAGACTTCATGTGTTTGAGGAAAAGCTATTGAGTAGTTAAAAAAAAAAAGACTCACCTAAAAGTGAAATTAAGAAAATAATTCTAGTCACAACAGCATCAAAAAGAATGAAATACTTAGAAATACATTTAAAAAGTGCAAAATGTAGAAAACTACAAAACATTATTCACAGAAAGAAAAAAAAAAAAAACTCAATGAATGAAAAAACATCCCACGCTCATGGGTCAGTAGCTTAACACTGTTAAGATAGCAATACCCTCATGCCAAACTGACCAAGAGATTCAACACAATACCTGACACAATCTCGGCTGACTTCTTTGCAGAAACCAACAAGCTGATTCTAAAATTTGTATGAAATTGCAAAGAACAGCCAAAACAATTCTGAAAGAAAAGGAGGAACATTCACACTTCATGATTTTAAAACTTAAAGAATGAAGTTGGACCTGGCATCATATCATAAACAAAAAGTAACTCAAAATGTATCAAAGATCCAGCTAAGAGTTAAAGATCAACATATACAAGGCTTCTAAAAGACATGAGGTAAATCTTTATAACCCTGGACTTGTCAAGGGATTATTAGATATGACTCCAAAAGCATGAGCAACAGAAAGGAAAATAGACAAATTGGATGTCATAAAATTTAAAACTTTTGTACTTCAAAGGTGGCTATCAAGAAAGTAAAAAGACAACTCTGAGAATAAAAGAAAGTATCTGCAAATCATGTATCTGACAAGAGACTTGTACCTAGACTACTGACTCTTAACTCAAAAAGACAACATAACTGAAACTACAGGCCAAGGCCACGAATAGATTTCTCCAAACAAGACACACAAAAGGCCAGTAACACATGAAAAGATACTTGACAACTTTAGTCATCAAAAAAATGAAAACCAAAATCACAATGAGGTATCATTTTACTACCACCAGGACGGCTAGATTCAAAAAGGCAAGTCCAGAGATGAATGAATAAACAAAATACAGTGTATCTATTCAATGGAGTTGTATTTGAGCATTAAAAGAAATGAAGTATGGACACACACTACAACATGGATGAGTCTTAAAAACTCTAAGCTAAGTGAAAGAAGCCAGTCACAAAGGACCCCATATTATATATTCTGTTCATATAAAAATCCAAAGTTCAGAACAGGGAAAGGAAAATATTCTTGGCAAGAGGGTGAATAATTTTACAGCCTAACTAAAATGATCACTTATCCCTAATAATTAAAAATTTTAAATGTATCTCCATAAGAATTAATCAAAGACCTTGTTTTGAAATTCAAATTCATTCTGAAGTATCAAAAGTAAAAGCTGTCAATTTATACTTACTAGAATCGGGCATAATGCGAAGGTCGCCTTCTTTATAATCATCTAAGAGCTGATACATGTATAAGACAGGATCTTTCTCATAGGTGATGTAAAACCATGTGTTCATGATAGGGGCGCGTGCTAAGACCATTCCCCTCCACTCGTCTTTAGAGCCGTCCTCTGTCTCAAACATGTGCTCCACTGCTTTGCCAATCATTGTGTCGGCTAGGTGCGCATCACTGATTCGAGATGTTGCTAGGGACAAAAAAAGCAAAAAACGGTTTACAAAGTATGCACTGTGAAGACTGAACTTATCCAAAGAAATGATTCTGAAATATACCATCAGGCTTCAGAATCATGTGGAGGGCTGTATGAAGGACAACCACCAAATTCACATTACTGATGCAGCCTAGGATGGATTCCATGGAATTACTACGCCCCAAAGTCATGTTACCGAGAGCATCTGTTTTTCTTTCTCTGAATTCATCTGCTCTTGGTACTGTATTTAATTAAAAATTTTAGTTGTTTATTTCAAGGTATAAAGTATTTTGGTTACAATTAATAATTTTTAAATTATTAATAATTATAGACTTACAGAAGAGTTCCAAAATTAGTATAGTCTCTATATAACTTTTACCCACTTTCCCTTTACATTTACAAAATGATCATTTATTAAAATCAAGATATTAACCTTCAAGGCATAGGTTTTCACTCTTGCCCCTACAATCTATTTTTTACAGTAATCAGAGTGGTATTTGTGGCAGTTACACCAGATTATGTCAATCATTTGCTTAAAATACTCCAGCATTTTCCTTTCATAATCTGAATAACAAACTGTTTCTCCAGAGCCAAAGCCCCTCATTCCACCCATCATTCCAAAGCCATCATTCCCTGCTGGTCCTCTGCCGTCCTGTTCTGTCACCTTCCTCCTACTGCCTATACCTCAGCAGCATGGGCATCTTTTTCTGGGATGCCCTTGAGCTGACCATGGCCCCCACATCCTCAGGGGCTGGCTCTTCCTGAGCAGGTGTCCACCCTGAGGGTCCCCAGGACCATGTTATGAAAAGCACCCCACTGCTCGAGCACCTGAATTTTATTTCTTAAAGACATTCACCACTATCTATAATCATCTTGTTTTACAGGTTTGTTTACTTGCTTTTACACTACACAGTGATGACAGCAAAGATCTTTCCCATCTTATTTTCAATAATGTGATCACAGGGGTTCAACACTGCTGTGTGAATTAATTATTTCAGAGGAAAAGTAGGTTGCTCTAGATTGACATTAGGAACACAGGTGAAAAATGACAAGCTTCTTTTCTTTTTTAGTACTGGGAAAATTATGAAGGAGCCTATTGATGTTAAGATTTCTCCATTCTTCATATTTCACATAATTCTTTAAGGAAAAAAAGGCACTTCTATCTCATTCATGAGGGCTATTTTTGTTTAAAGACACTGCCGATATTTAATTTTATCAGCAAGACACTCTAAACACAAATGGTAGTTTCATTTACATGTGCAATAATTACCAAAAATAACAGATTCTCTGCTGCACAACACTAAAGCAAAATCCCACCAGTTCCTCCAAACCAGAAGGTATCTAACTTTCTGATCTCAGGACCCCTAAAATTTCTGAGTATTTGTTTATATGAATGATAAATATTTTAAAAATTATAAATGATGCATCTAAAGATATTTTAAGATACTCACAGAAATACATTTTTAAGGAAAAATAACTATTTTCTAACAAAATTTTAATATATATCTAGCTTTAGAAACAGGCAGCTAGACTCATATCTATTTTTTCTTTAATGCATAATCTTTTTTGCATGTACTTTTAGCTGACGTGTAAAATCACAAAGATATGCTGTTGAAAAAGAGTATTTTATTAGTCTTTCAAATAATTCTAGATATTCTTCTCTGATATCACATCAAAACTCATCAAGTCTTGGCTTTCCTTAAAGGTTAATTGCACTGTAGACCCTGAAATCATTATCAATAAACTTCTGTCAAACTATTAAAATTCATCTGCAGAATACATAAAGAATTCCTACAACTCTGCAATGAACAAAACAAATTGAAATAACCCAATCAAAAATGTGGGCAAAGGAATAGGTATTTCTGCAAAGATGACATATGAATGGTCAAAAAGCATATAAAAAGATGCTTAGCATCACTAATCATCAAAAAAAATTCAAATCAAAACCAACAGAAAATAACAAATGTTGGTGAAGATGAGAAATTGAAATCCTTATGCACTATTGGTGGGACTATAAAATGCTAATGAACACTATGGAAAAACAGTATGTATACAAGCACCTCAAAAAATTAAACAAAATTACCGTATGATTCCACTTCAGGGTAAATGCCCAAAAGAACTGAAAGCAGGGCTTGAAGAGATATTTGTATACGCATGTCATAGCAGCACTATCCACAATAGCCACAGTAGAAGGAACCCACCAAGAGTCCAATCAGGGACGAATGGGGAAAAATATGGTATACACATACAATGGAATATTACTCAGCCTTAGAAAGGAAGGAAATCCTGTCACATACTACAACATGAACGAACCTTGAGGACGCTATGCTAAGGGAAAGAATCTAGTCACAAAAAGCAATACCACATGATTCTACTTATGATGTACCTAAAGTTATCAAATTCACAGAAACAGGATGGTGGGTACAGGGGGGGATGGTGGGAGGGGAAAAATGAGTTGCTTAATGGGGAAAGAATTGCAAAATAAAAGAATTTGGAAATCTATTCCATAACAGTGTGAATATACTTAACACCTCTGAACTGTACATTTGAAAACAGTTATGGTAGTAAATTTCATGTTCTGTGTTTTTACCACAACAAAAAAAACCCCTGTTGGTCTCTGAATGGATCTTTCACCAATACATGATTTGGTAACATCATACACTGTTCGTATCAAAAATATATTCACTGAGCTATGCAGATCTTCCAAATAGTGGGAAACCTCAGTAAATAACTGTGAAAGGATGAGAGTGATAAAGGCAAATTATACCTTAATATTATTATAAATTTTGATCTCATAAGGCACATGAATATGCTTCAGGGAACCTTAACAGTCCCCAGACCATGCTTTGGGAACCAGTACTGTGTGATGTCACTTTCTCTCACCTTTAGCTTAAGGTTAACATGTACTGCCTAAAGCAAATTAGGAAAAAACATTTTCTTTCTACATGGAATATAGATGAAGTCCAAATAACTTTTCAGAATAAAGTACCACAGGGAATACTACAATTAACTGATAATTATGTTAGCCATATAACATACTGCTGGTGTGCACATAGGCCTTTAGATCTCCTTTTTCTGTTTACAAAAGCAATCCATGTCTATTGATGGAAACTGAAAAGGCCCATAACTGGAAAGAAAAACATTAAGAAACCCTAAATCTCATCACCAAAGACACTCACATATTTCTGGGTATCTTGGTTTGGTAAAATCACTGTTTTTTAATAAATCAAGCTAAGTTTTTTCTGCTCTATGATGACAAAAGAACTAATACAGGTCATGTGGCAGAATACAGTAAAATCTCAAATAAGCTAGCAGTCTTACCCTTGAAGGAGTCAGAAAAAGAATTATGATAATTAATGAGCACAAATAATTGATATAAAGGTGAGGATACTTTTTAAGCCTTGAAGGGAAGATTCTTCCATGTTAGTTTCTAATGTGGGAAATGGACTGCTCTTAAGATCAAGAGGAAAGAGGGCATGCCTCATAAGCAACAGTGTGTTCAGTCACACTGAAAAGAGATAAAGTTTAAAATGCCAAAGATTTACTATTACACAATTAGTTATCTGTAGTTAAAAACACAAATTTTAAGAAAGACTTCTGTGAAAGCTGAACTATATTTATACAGGATGAGTAAAGACAATATATGCTATCTAAAGTGAAGATTAAAAAGTAACTTGCTGCTCTGCCAAAGTTAACCTGATGGGGAAGCACTGTTCCAGGAACACAAGGGTAAAACAAAGGGACAGGGGACTGGTAAGCGTCTTCGCTTGACAATCTGATTCCAAAATTCTATCCTCCAAGTACAGAGCTGCTGAAGCTATATTTGTAAAAATACAGGCTTTCAAAGGACAGTTACAAAAACATAAACCAGATTCAGGCAATGGCAGCATCACTGTGAAAATGAAAATACTCCGAAGAAAGGAACATTAATTTGGGAGTATTCTATTGATCTTAAAACCTAGTTTATTTTATTCTTAAAAATAAAACCAGTCATTATGCCTAAGGTATGCAAGGCAAAACTGATTCATATGACACTTAAAGTCATTCATAGCTCCTATGACCATTTGTATATATAAAAAATAAACTGAGGCTGTCATTTAAAAAAAAAGAAAAAAAGCCATTCATTTCCCACAAACCTTGCAAAACAAACCCTTAAAAATATAATAAAATTCACATGCATTGGTTGCTTAAATTTTACAATGATCACTTTTGTAAAAATACACAATGAAAGATACACTTCACCTAAAAGATTCTAAAATAAACACATGAAATTTTTCTTAGCTATTATATGATGAAATAAGTACACTGAATATTTGAGCTAATGAGAAATACTCTTACCCATCAGAGTCCAGATAAACTGTGAGCAAAACGTGGGAAATAATCATATTAGAAATATTAGATTGTCAACTTCTTAGGGAACAATTTTATACATCTTTATATCCCTCATAGTTCCTTTGAACTGTGGTTTCAGGACATCTGCTCAGCAGTTTTTATGGTCTTAGGTGACTGATTTAAATATGTATCAGAAGTGCTTATACGCCAATAAAAAGACAAATATCAGTAATGCAAATAATCAAAAAGCATCCATTTCAGAAATCCTTTTTAAAGCATATAATGCACAAATAGTAAAGAGAACTTACCAACTCTATCAGGGAGGACTTCAAGCGCAGAAACTCTTTCATCTTTATTAAGTTCTAGTCCATAAACACAGTCAAATCCATCGTATTTTATAAGATACAAAGAAGGGTTTACAGGCACCTGGTCCAGAACGGTTCCTTTCCACTGGGTGACAGGGCCATTCCCCTCCTTCCACCCATGCTGAATCCTGCAGCCTACGATGTTCCGCCGAGGCTGGGAAACAGGCTTGCTTGGTCCCACACTGCTCCGATGTTTTCTGTATTCACACATACACACACGTAAGGTATCTTCTCAAAGTATGCACTCCTACCAACACAACTACTGCTAGCTAGCATGCTCTCATCAGAAATGGTCCCGGGCCTGTGCAGGCTAACGCTGCCACACCCAGGGTTCAGGTGGCTCCAGCCAGCCATCCCCCAGTCCCGCAGCCGTGCAGTGGTGGCTCACAGGGGGCGCATTTCAAGCAATAGAAGCTTCCTGTGCGCCTTAAGTGTGGAGGCAGAAAAACACAGGACTAGACCGTAGCAACTAAGCCCTAAAATTAAGCATCAGTTTTCAGCTTTCTGAGTTTCTTTTAATTCAATCAACTTACAGTTATCCAAATTAATCAAAGAAAGACAAGGGCTGACTACATGATATAACTGCATGTGCATATGGCTTTATGAAACAGAAATCCACTTCTTGTCAAAATGAAATAACTATTCAATTTCACCCATTCTTATGCCCACATAACTTTATTCCCACTGGCTTAAACAAATAAGAATAAACTAGACATTTAACTTTTTCTTAAACTAAGTCCAGGTTGCCTTATATTCATGCATTTTTACCATCATTACTTCTCTAGAAAGCACATAACCTTCAACCCTTAAATCTGTAGCAAATAATGTAATATTGAAAATTATTCAAGTGACATACATCAGTTACAAACAACTGAAAAACCTACATAAAATGTTTACAAATAATACACCTGGCTCTTGATGTCAGGGGAAAAAAAAAACCTTCATTTCATGGAGCAATCCAAAGACAAGGGACAAGACTTGGCTTGAATGTAAGCTGAAGGCCGAAGCCATGCTGGCACATGGATGCTGCTATATGCCAAGAATGAAAAAAATTTAGAGAGCAGATAAGAACTGCTTTTCTGCTAAATGGCATAGATACAAATGTACCTTAAAAAAACAAGCAATTTATTATAGGATGTAATATTTAAAATTACAATTGTATATATTTGAAGTAGACCAGCTTTAAACTTACTGGGTTTGTGAAACAGAGAAAACAGGTTACAGCAAACCATTAAAACTGCCTTAATGAGGTCTATAATCAGTTGACACAATCCTTTACCTACGCAAGACAGGGAACACCATTTGGGGAACATCTCAGAAGGAAAACTTCTCCAGCTGGACTGTAAAAGGATTCACAGGATTATGAGACCATGAGATCAGAAGACACTGTGTCTGCCCCAGCACTTAAGGCTTTGCACACACCCAGCCAAAAGGCCTTCCAGGAAAGGCAGAACCAGGCACTGAGGTCACAAGCTGAGAATAACACCCTGAACAGGACGAGGCCTGGGGACAGAGGAAAGAGGAGGCTCAGGTGCTGGGCAGACCTCAACAGGTAATCCAGAGAGGACCACACAGAAGTGTACTAGTGTGCCGTGGGAATACTGACGCACTCTGCAGCACGGACGGCTCTCCTGGTACAGCGTCACCCCTTCCCACAGACAAGTCTCAGGAGAGGACCATGGTGGCAACAACGGCAGCGGAAGCAAACCCAAGAATATGTCCACAAGGTAGAGGGAAACTATCACCTAACATTGTGCACACACGAAGGCCATGAAAGAGGAACTTACATCAGAAACAGAAGAGCCCAGAAGAGAGGCAGCCACACCAGAGAAGATGCAAGAAAAATAAGACACAGTCAAGAAACAAGCAGCAATTTGAAATCTTTTCAGAAATGAAGACTAGACTAGAGGAACATGGAAGAAATTGACACCAAGGGGCATTTAAGGAAAATTGTTGTTTTTCGGTCATTAAGTCATGTCCAACTCTGCAATCCCACAGACTGCAGCACATCAGACTCCTCTGTCCTCCACTATCTCCCAGAGTTTGTTCAAATTCATGTCCATTTAAGGAAAATATATAATAAAAAAAAGAGACAGATGGGAACAGATATGAAATACCAACTTCTATATAACAGAATCACCCAACAGCTAAAATCAAAGGAGCAGAAAAAAATGCTAAATAATTCAAGAAAAATATCCTGAAATGAAAGACTGAAATGTACAAACACATCCCTGGTAAAACTGACACAGAACTACTGATGCTAAGACATCCAGTAAAACAAACAAACTTTAAGGAAAATAATACCTCCTGGGCATCCAAGCAAAATAACTGCATCACTTGTAAGGAAAAGTAAATCACAATGTGACAGTGACCCTGTGAGCCACCAGATAACAGAGTGATGAACTTTCAAGTTCTCAGGAAAGAAACATGAGGTGATGATTTCATAGTCAGCAAAGAATTCTATACTATCCTCCAAGTAAAAGTATACAGATAAAACTGTGAACAAATAAGAACTTGAGAAATATTGTTCTTACAGATGCTTCCTGAAGAAGTTAACATTTGGCCATCCATATCCATGGGTTCCACATCCTCAGATTCAACCAAATGTGGACAGAAAAACAAAGTTCCAAAAAGCGAAGCTTGAATTCGCCACATGCAGGCAACAATTTACATATCATCTACATTGCATTTACAACCATTTACACAGTATTTACTCTGTATTAGGTATTTATGAGTAATCTAGAGATGATCTGAAGTATACAGGAGGATGTGTGTGGATGTTATGTGCAAATACTAGGCCATTTTATATAATGGACTTGAGCATCCGTGGATTTTGGTATGGTGTCAAGGGTCCTAGAATCAATCCACCCCAGATACCAAGGGACCACTGTATAGGACAGTTTCAGATAATCAAGAATGCTAAGAAAGCTTTCAGCACAGAGCTGACAGTAAGCAGTGAGCATCTCTTACTGCAGAACAAACTTAGGGAAAAGAGAAATACAGCAATATGTAACTACTGTCTGCTTTGACAACAGAGTTAACACCACTCTGCCAAGGGGAAGGGAAGAAGAATACCTGTAAAGTAGAAGTTCGCTAAACAAAAGAGTGTGACTTGGAACAGAGCACCTTCTATTAAAGGGAGAGAAATCAGCGAAGTGGGAAATGAATTCAATACTGTTCTTAGTAAGGAACTGATCTATATAACCTAAAATAAATAAAGACTGGTTAATTTTAAAAGACTGCAGTATAAAATTTAGTGGAGAGAAAAGCCTTAATAACATACTATCAGTCACTAACTTGTAACTACTACTAATACTCAAAGCTAAAAATGAACTCAAGACCTCTTCATAATCCCTGAAAATGGGCCACTACATCCAACTGGCCCTCTGTAGGGATATATGGCTGTGAAACAGACTATATTTCTTCTTTAGAATACAGGTATCTTTTCGAGCATTACATTTTTCTTCAAATAGACAATTACCTATCTTCTTTTGATCTTTAGGAAAAAGTCCTTGTGATTCATCCTGTGTACAAGATCAGGTTTTCTTCAAAGCAAAGGCAGAGGTTGGTCCCCAGAACTCACTGAAGAAAGAATTCAGTCATATGCACCATTTTATAATTCATAGACATTCTGTTATTACTATCAAAATTATAAGCAAATATAGCATCTTCACCAGTGTGATGACTAATCTTAATGTGTCAAGTTGTCTGGGCCACAGTACTAAGACACCTAGTCAAACATTACTCTAAATGTTTTCTGTGAAGGTATTTTTCTCCATGAAACTAACATGTAAATCAGTAGAGAGACTGCCTTCCATAACATAGGTGAGTCTCATCCAATCAGCTGACAGCATTATCAGCAGCTCTTCCCTGGATCTCCAATCTCTCTGTGCACACACCATTGGTGCTGTTTCTTTGGAAAACACTGACTACAAACAGAAGAGTCTATCCTAGATTCAGAGGCATGAAATTTTCTACTACCATGATTCTCAAAAAAAAAAAAAAAAAAAAACCCAATATACAGTTAGCAACTGATAGCAGAAAAGGGAAACTGGAAGACTCAGAATTCAGTCATTCATCCTTCCTACACTCACTAGTGGCATTCTTCTGTAATTCTTCAGTTGCTTCTGAAGAGGGAGATGCATGATGCTCTCTTTAATCCCATTTCAGAACAAGCAGTTTTCATCCTAGTCACCTCCAGTGGAAGTACACAAAGACTCTCCTCCCTCTTCGGAACAACACGAGGGACTCCAATCTAGCTAGCAAGCAGCACTATTCAGAGTGGTTGCTATATCCTTTAGTTCTGAAGAAACATGACCCTTCCTTTTTTGCATGGATTTTATTTTCTCACTTTCTTTAAGGGAATTTTAATCAGCTTCTGTTACATAATATGTGGTAATAACATGCCTGGGTTACTCCCTGGTTAGTAGAACTTCCTGAAAGCCGTATGGCGAGGTAAAAAAAATACAAATAAATAAATAATCTACTTATTAAGCTTACAATTTTCTACTAAAGTACACAATTAAAACCCAAGCAAGACAAAAAATAACCCCCCAAAAATTAAACAACAGAAAAAACATTCTTAGTAAAGGAAGGAAAAAATTTTAAAAACAAACACCTTAGTAACCCTTTCCTGGCCACCTTCACCACACTACCAGAAATTTAGTCTTTTGTTCCAAACTGTTATTAATCTTGCTCAGGTCAGTGGCTCAGTCGTGTCCGACTCTTTGCGACCCCATGAACCGCAGCATGCCAGGCCTCCCTTTCCATCAACAACTCCCAGAGTCCACCCAAACCCATGTCCATTGAGTCAGTGATGCCATCCAACCATCTCCTCCTGTCCTCAATCTTTCCCACTATCAGGGTCTTTTCAAATGAGTCAGCCCTTCGCATCAGATGGCCAAAGTATTGGAGTTTCAGCTTCAACATCAGTCCTTCCAAAGAACACCCAGGACTGATCTCCTTTAGGATAGACTGGTTGGATCTCCTAGCAGTCCAAGGGATTCTCAAGACTCTTCTCCAACACCACAGTTCAAAAGCATCAATTCTTCGGTGCTCAGCTTTCTTTATAGTCCAACTCTCACATCCATACATGACTACTGGAAAAACCATAGCCTTGACTAGACGGACCTTTGTTGGCAAAGTGATGTCTCTGCTTTTTAATATGCTGTCTAGGTTGGTCATAACCTTCCTTCCA